CCGGGCTCGACGCCCGCGCTCTCGCTGGAACCCAGCAAACCTCTCTCGTTGGAGTGTTCCGAGGGGTGATGCCGTTATCCCGGAGCGCCCAGGGAGAGCTTTGTGACCCAAGCCAGAGCTTCCTGAAACTCGGGCCACGGAGTTTCTGGAGGCTCGGGGGCCGAGTTTCCTGTAACTCAGCGGGCCGAGTTTCTAGAACCCCAGTGGGCTCGAGATTCTTGCAACTCGAGTTTTTAGAAATTCAGTGGGCGAGTTCCCGTGTCCATTTACGTACCTTCGGAGCGCAAGGGGGATTTAACAACGAATGCGTCTGGGAGCGCGCAATGCGAGGGTTCTCCGTCGAGATCTTCGAGGAGGGATTTGTGACCAGGGAGAGCTTTGTAACCCAAACGGAGTCTCTAGAAACTTACGGGCAGGAGTTCTTAGAAAGCTCGACTTCGCGGCTTGGTTCCTGGAGGCCGAAAACATCATGGTACTGGAAGGCAGGGGCTCAGTGGCGGCCCTGAGGCACCAGTTTCGCTCAGTTGTGTCCTTCGGTTGCTGCCTCCTACATCTTGGGGATAACCTGTCGCTCATTTTGGCTTCTGAAAGAGGGAGGTCTTCTTCGCCTGGCCTGCCGAGGATCTGCCGGCGGCTGCTCGCCCTCTCGCTCGCGGCCGCTGTGCATGTGCGCTGCCGGTGGGGCCCGTCGGAGCTGAACGCCTCGGATGAGGGCTGGCGCCTCTGGGAAGGCGAGGGCGCGCGGCTGCGTGGGAGGGGGGCGCCCAGCTTCGTGCAAGGGCCCTGCCAAGCCCACCAGGTCGATTCCCTTGTCGCCCGTGCCCTTGAGCGACATCCGGGAGGTCGCATCCCTTGGCGGGCGGGGGGTCGCCCGCGACCTGGCGCCGCCGGCGGTGGGGCCAGCATCGTGGCCGCGGTGCCTCGGGGCCCTCCGCAGGCTGCACGTGTTCTGCCTCCGCCGGGGCTGTGCAGCGGGCTCGGTGGAGTCTGCCGACGTGGGGGTGGCCGAGCTGGGCCGAGAGGTGCACGCTGGCAGGCGACATGCCCGTCGGCGGGCAGAGGCGGTGCCGCCCTTCCTCTCGCTGGCTGGGGCCTCCAGGCCCGGGCGCGGCTGCGCCCTGCAGTCGCGCGGCCGCCGATGCCGCGGATCGTCGCGGCGCTGGTGGCCCAGGTGATGGTCCGCTTGGAGGAGCCGCCGGCGGCGCTGATGGTCGTGCACTGCTTCGCGGACGGCCTCCGACCCTCGGAGGGCCTGAGCCTGCAAGCAGCCGATGTGGTCGCTGCGTCGTTCCCGATCTCGACCTTCGTGGGCATGTGCGTCCTCTATATGCTGAGGATGCCGAGGCGCGGCGGCCAGTCAGAGGACAGTAGGGGCAACTCGAGGACCCTGTCGGAGGTGAAGCGCTGGAGCGCCGACGGCGCGGCGAGGCGCTAAGCGGCAGCCCGTCTGCAGCGCAAAGAGGCGCGGTCGGACCTGGCGCAGAGGGCTCAAGCCAATGCCGCAGTGACAGGCCTCCCCTTATGGCATCGTTGGCCCGCCGCCGAGCACCCGCTGGTGGCGCAGGTACTGCGTCGTGGTTCTCGTTGGCTGCGGGCGCCTTTCTCTCGAGCTCGCGCGGAGGGCCTTTCGTGTCAACGCCTTCGACGATGCCCACTCCGCCGACCAGGATATCCTGAGGCCTGACGCCTGGAATGTACTCGTCTTTCTCGCCAGTGTCGCCTTGTGCCGTTCAGGACAGCTGGGTATCCCTGGCCTCTGTGACAAGGATGTTGCGAAGGTCCGGCTTAGGCAATGCCCTGATGCTTGCCTCCGCTTCCATTGCCTGGGCATGCGCTCTCGCTGGAACTCGCGTTGTCATCGAGAATCGAGAACCCGATGACCTCCAGGATTTGGCTGACGAGACCTTTCGATGCGTTGATGCGTCTTGGGGCCGAGACCTTCATTGCTAGTTTTTGTCAGTGCGCCCCCCCTAAGGCAACAATGTAACTCCCTGCTCGCGTCTCACTGCCCTGCGCTCTCTGGTGTTCACAGATGCTGTATAAAATGAGGCCGATGCCCGGCCACAAGTAAGAAGCATGAGCCGCTTGTCGGTAAGACATCATATGGTAAGTTCAAGACTCTTGCAGCACAGCCGTGCTCACAATTATTGGTAGAGCATGTCGGCGATCTTTTTTTCGTCGCTTCGCTTAATGCCTCTGGCCAGTCCCAATCTTGAGGTTGGGGATCCTGATATGCGTTTCAGTGCCTTCGATCAGTGTGCGCTTCAGCTGGCCTGCTCTCAGGCCCGTCAGTGCTCTCGGTTATGGCTGTCTTCTCTGGCGGCGGAACATGAGCAGAGCCAAGTGGATGTGCTTGTTCGGGACTGCTGTCTGCGGAGTTGCAGCTCCGTCGTCTCTCCCTCCGTCGGCCATGGGCGCGCTGACTTACGTTTTCTCAGGCTTTCCCCAAGCCGACCCCTTTTCACCCTCCTGCTCAGCATAGGTGGGGGATCCTGACGTGCGTTTCAGTGCCTTCGAGCCGTGTGCGTTCCAGCTGGCCTGCTCTCAGGCCCGTCAGTGCTCTCGGATATGTCTGTCTTTTCTGGTGGTGGAAAATTCGCAGAGCCACATCATCATCAGCAGCATCATCATTATCTGCATCAGCTTCATCACCATCATCATCATCAGCATCATCATCATCATCATCATCACCATCATCATCATCATCATCATCATCATCATCATCATCATCATCATCATCATCATCATTATCATCTTCCTCATCATCATCATCGAAACCAACATCACCACTATCAGCACCATCGCCATCACCATCATCAGCATCTTCATTCTGTCATCATTATCAAACTATCTACGCTTCGTAAGTCCCCACTACCGATTCAAAAACCATGCCCATGAACACCGATGGGGAACAAATGGACGAACATACATATACAGTGAAACAGAGCGTGCAATGAGAGGAGAGGAAGGAGGGCGTTGAGCCATGTTGGAGGCTAATTTGGAACATCGGAGGCCTTCTTGGAACTACGGGGCTGTATTGGGGGATCTTATATTGTGATCTTCTTAGGGCTGTTTTGAAACATCTTGGGGCCCTCTTGGGGCTTTTTGGGGTTCTTGGGGTCCTCTTGGGGCTCTTTCGAGGTGGGGCCCCCTAGGGGGCCCTCTCGGGGCTTTCTTGGGACTCCCTTGGGGCTCTTGGGAGCTGTGGAGCGCCTCTTGGGGCCATCTTGGGGACCATCGATCAAAGGAGGGGGGTCCTTGATTTCCCTCCTCCAGGGCCATCCAAATAGCCTCTCGGGGCGCTCTTGGGGCCGTTTTGGGGGGCGATGTTGGGCGCTCTTGGCGCAGTCTTGGGGGCTTCTTGGGCCCTTCTTGGAGCTCTCTGGGCCATCTTAGGGCCATCTTGAGGCTTCAGAAGCGCACGGGGGGCGAAATGGTGAAAAGGCAAGCATCAGTGATTTTGTTTAGGTTTATTTTTAAACAGGATTTTTGGTTTCCCGGGGAGGTCCTTAGGGGTCGCTAAATCACCTGGAACCGTCTTGTGGCACTCTTGAGGCCTGTTGGAGGTGTGATGAAGGTCATCTTGATCAATCATGCAGTATCTTGAAGCATCTTGGAGGCCATCTTTGGGCATCGGAGGCCCTCTTTGGAGCCACCTTGGACAAAGAAGACCTTTATAACGCCCTTCCCAAAACGATTGGGAGGGGAGGGGAGGGTATCCCTCCCCGAAGGGAAGAGGGGTGGGTCTCTTGTGGAAGAGGAGAGAACTACATCTTTAATCGTTAGACCACCTACGCCCAGAGGGCTTGTGGGATTAGTCATCACCACCGTCATCATCACCATCATCGTCGACATTCTGCTCGTTGTTGTCTGTGCGTTCGCATGTTTCCAGGGATCTATTTGTTCAAGCGCCTTGCCCGAATAGGTAGCTCCTCGGCGTCATGCGACACAAGGCAGTCATGCGCCAGGCCCTGCTCTTGCTGCTCTCGGCGGTGCACGCCAGCGCCACGATGGCCGACACTCCAGCACCCACGACGGCGCCAACGGAGGCTCCAACGTTAGCACCGACTCCAGCGCCCACGCCCACGCCAACGGCTCCGACGGAGGCGCCGACGGCAGCGCCAACCGCAGCGCCAACGCCAGTACCGACTCCAGCGCCCACGCCCGCACCAACGGCTCCGACGGAGGCGCCGACGGCAGCGCCAACCGCAGCGCCAACGCCAGCACCGACTCCAGCGCCCACGCCAACGCCAACGGCGCCGACGGAGGCGCCGACGGCAGCGCCAACCGCAGCGCCAACGCCAGCACCGACTCCAGCGCCCACGCCCGCACCAACGGCTCCGACGGAGGCGCCGACGGCAGCACCAACAGCAGCGCCAACGCCAGCACCGACTCCAGCGCCCACGCCCGCACCAACGGCTCCGACGGAGGCGCCGACGGCAGCGCCAACCGCAGCGCCCACGCCAGCACCGACTCCAGCGCCCACGCCCGCGCCAACGGCTCCGACGGAGGCGCCGACGGCAGCGCCAACCGCGGCGCCAACGCCAGAACCGACTCCAGCGCCCACGCCCGCACCAACGGCTCCGACGGAGGCGCCGACGGCAGCACCAACAACAGCGCCCACGCCAGCACCGACTCCAGCGCCCACGCCCGCGCCAACGGCTCCGACGGAGGTGCCGACGGCAGCGCCAACCGCGGCGCCAACGCCAGCACCGACTCCAGCGCCCACGCCCGCACCAACGGCGCCGACGGAGGCGCCGACGGCAGCGCCAGCAACAGCGCCCACGCCAGCACCGACTCCAGCGCCCACGCCCGCGCCAACGGCTCCGACGGAGGCGCCGACGGCAGCGCCAACCGCGGCGCCAACGCCAGCACCGACTCCAGCGCCCACGCCCGCACCAACGGCGCCGACTCCAGCGCCAACGCCAACGCCAGCGGCGACGACGGCGGCGCCGACGGAGCCGACAGAGGCGCCCACGCCAGAGGCGACGACGACCGATATGCCAGCGCCCACGCTAACGCCAGCGGCGACGACGGAGGCGCCGACAGAGCCGACGGAGGCGCCCGCGCCAGCAGCGACGACGACCGATGCGGCGGCGCCCACGCCTGCGCCAGCGTCGACGACGGAGGCGCTGACGGAGCCGATAGAGACGCCCACGCCCGCCGCGACGACGACCGATGCGGCGGCGCGAACTCCAACGCCAGCGTCGACGACGGAGGCGCTGGCGGAGCCGACAGAGGCGCCCACTTCAGCAGCTACGACGACAGATGCGCCGGCGCTAACGCCAACGCCAGCGTCGACGACGGAGGCGCTGTCGGAGCCGACAGTGGCGCCCACTTCAGCAGCTACGACGACAGATGCGCCGGCGCTAACGCCAACGCCAGCGTCGACGACGGAGGCACTGGCGGAGCTGACAGTGGCGCCCACTTCAGCAGCGACGACGACCGATGCGCTGGCGGCAACGCCAGTGGCGACGACGGAGGCACCGACGGAGCCGATAGAGGCGCCCACGCCAGCCGCGACGACGACGACCGATGCGCTGGCGGCAACGCCAGCGGCGACGACGGAGGCACCGACGGAGCCGACCGAGGCGCCCATGCCAGCCGCGACGACGACCGATGCGCTGGCGCCAACGCCGACGCCAGCGGCGACGACGGAGGCGCCGACATTGGAGTCGACAGAGGCGACCACGCCAGCAGCGACGACGACCGATGCGCCGGTACCCACGCCTGCGCCAGCGGCGACCACGCAGGTGCCGACGGAGTCGACAGAGGCGTCCACGCCAGCAGCGACGACGAGCGAGGCGCCATCGCCAACGCCGACGCCCGCGGCGACGACGGAGGCGGCCACAACCGAGGCGACAACATCGGCTCCGACTCCAGCGACATCAGCACCAACGGTGGCCCCGACGTCAGTGAAATGGGGAGTGGGCCAGGATGGGCGCATACCGAGCTCTTCTTTCTGCAGGCCCGGCCTGCTGTTCTGGGAGGAAAGCGGCAGCTGGGGGCTCCTACCTCGTGCATGGATGGCGCCGCGCGCAGAGCCCCACGGGGTGTGACACTTCCGGCTCCAGCTTTCTCTCCCCGCCCCCCTTCCCCGCTCAGGAGCAACGATATGGGGGGATGGGCACAGGGGTGGATGCGTTGACCCCCAGTCGTGGATCGCCGACAGGGAGCTCTCGCCCAGGACGCCTCGCCCAGGACCCCCCGCAAAGGATTCCCCGCCCAGGGCCCCCCCCGCCCAGGACCCCCCGAAGGGCAGAAATGGGCCCACAGCGGCCACGCACGCCCAGGGGTGAAGCAAAACCGTTCGGGCACCCTCGATCTTCGACCCTTCGATCTTCGATCCTTCGACCCTCGATCCTCGATCCTCGATCCTCGATCCTCTGATCCCCGAACTGCGATCTTCGATCCTCGAGCCTTCTGCCCCGGCTCCTCCTCGTTCTTTGGGGGGCCTGGCGCGCCTGGCTTTGAGAGCCCACGCGGACGAATGCCACGCGGGGAGTTTCCCGAGGGTCGGGCATGGCGACAGGGGGAGAAGGAGGAGAAGGATGGAACAGGAGGAGGAGGAGGAGGAGGAGGAGGAGGAGGAGGAGGAGGAGGAGGAGGAGGGAGGAGGAGGAGGAGGAGGAGGAGGAGGAGGAGGAGGAAGCGGAGGAGGAGGAGGAGGAGGAGGAGGAGGAGGAGGAGGAGGAGGAGGAGGAGGAGGAGGAGGAGGAGGATGGTAGATTGATAGCGAGGAGTCGGAGGAGAGGGAGTATGATGAGGAGGAGGAGGACGAGGTCGAGGGGGAGGAGGAACAGCAAGATCATGAGGCGCAGATAGATAACAAAGAAGAGGAGGTGGAGGATGAGGAGGAGGAGCAGGAGGAGGAGGAGGAGGGGGAGGAAGAGGAGGACGAGGGTGAGGACCAGGATGAGGACGATGACCTCTGAAGGGGATGGAAGAGATAGGTGGAGGGGATGGGAGGGGGGTGGAGTGGTGGAGGGACAGGGGGGGGATTCGAATGTGGAGTCGAGGGATGGCGGAAAAGGATGATGATGAGGAGAAGGAGTAGGAGGCGGAGGAGGAGGAGGAGGAGGAGGAAAAGGAGGAGGAAAAGGAGGAGGAGGAGGAGGACGAGGAGGACGAGGATGAGGATGAGGATGAGGATGAGGATGAGGAGGAGGAGGAGGAGGAGGAGGAGGAGGAGGAGGTGGAGGTGTGTGGCCTGGCGGAGGAGACGGAGGCGGAAGAGAAGGATGATGATGATGATGACGATGACGATGACGATGATGATGCCGATGATGATGCTGATGATGATGCCGATGAGGATGATGATGCTGATGCTGGTGCTGGTGCTGATGATGATCATGATGTTGGTGATGATGCTGATGAGGAACTTTGATGCTGATGATACTGATGATGATGAGGGTGATGATGATGTAGATGATGATGATGATGATACTGATGACGATGATGATGATGATGATGATGATGATGATGATGACGATGACGAGGATGATGATGATGCGCTGCTGATGATGATGATGGATGATGATGATGCTGCTGCTGCTGATGATGATGATGATGATGATGATGATGATGATGATGATGATGATGATGATGATGATGATGATGATGATGATGATGATGATGATGATGATGATGATGATGATGATGATGATGATGATGATGATGATGATGATGATGATGATGATGATGATGATGATGATGATGATGATGATGATGATGATGATGATGATGATGATGATGATGATGATGATGATGGTGATCAGAAAGAGCGTGTTTTACCGCTGCTGGCGGAAAACCGGGGGGGGTCACTGGGGGTTCCCAACCCGTTCCCCCCCCTCGAAAACCGGCAGGGGGTCACTACTGGTTCGAACCCCTCCCCCCCCCGTCCATCATGAAAAGGGGGGGGTGTCACTACCGGTTCGAACCCCCCTCCCCCCCCCCCTCGAAAACCAGGGGGGGGTCACTACCGGTTCTAACCCCCCCCCCCTCGAAAACCGGGGGGAGGTCACTACCAGTTCGAACCCCCCCCCCGCGCCGCCGGCAAACGATTCCTGCTCCTCGGGACATTTGGACAGGTGGGGATGCTGGGACAGTAGTGGGAACGGTGGTGGTGGGGACAGTGGTGCGGGGACAGTGGGACAGTGGTGCGGACAGTGGTGGGGACGGTGGTGGTGGGGACAGTGGTGAGGGGACAGCGGGACAGTGGTGGGACAGTGGGACAGTGGTGGGGACGGTAGTGGTGGGGACAGTGGTGAAGGCCGTGGTGAGGACAGTGGTGGGACATTAGCACAGTTTGGAAAGTGTTGGGGACAGTGGGGACAGTGGGGACAGTGGGGACAGTGGGACAGTGATGGGGACAGTGGGACAGCAGCGGGGACGGTGGGACAGTGGTGGGTACAGTGAGGGCAGTGGGACAGTGTTGGGGACCGTGGGGAAAGGGGGGAGAGTGGGACCGTGGTGGGACAATGGTGGGGAGAGTGGTGACAGTGAGACATTGGTGGGAGCACTGGTGGGGACAGCGGGGACAATGGTGGGAACAGTGGGGACAGTGGGACAGTGGTGGTGGGGACAGTGGTGTGGGGACAATGAGAATGTGGTGGAAACAGTGGGACAGTGGAGGGTACAGTGGTGGTGGGGACAGTGGTGAGGGCGGTGGCGAGGACGGCGGTGTGATAATGGGACGGGTACAGTGGGGACAGTGGTGGAGACAATGGGGACAGTGGTGGGAACAGTGGGACAGCTCAGTGGGACAGCGGCGGGGATAGTTGGACAGTGGGACAGTGGGGACAGTGGGACAGTGGTTGGGGCCGTGGAGAAAGTGGGGAGAGTGGAACCGTGGTGGGAACAGTGGTGGGGACAGTGGGGACAGTGCGACAGTGGTGGGGGCACTGGTGGGGACAGTGGGGACGGTGGTGGGAACAGTGGGGACAGTGGTGGTGAGGACAGTGGTGCTGGGAACAGCAGTGGGGGATGTGGTGCGGACGGTGGTAGGGACCCGGGAGTCGTTTGCTCGCGGTGAGCGTGGGGGGGGGGTTCGAACCGGTAGTGACCCCCCCCCAGTTTTCGAGGGTGGGTGGTGGTTCGAAATGGTAGTGACCCCCCCTGGTTTTTCGAGGCGGGGGGGGGTTCGAACGGTAGTGACCCCCCTGGGTTTTCGAGGGAGGGGGGGGGGGGGGGATTTCGAACCAGTAGTGACCCCCCCAGTTTTCTGGAGGGGGGGGGAGGGGTTCGAACCGGTAGTGACCCCCTCTGGTTTTCGGGGGGGGGGGAGGGGTTCGAACCGGTAGTGACCCCTCCCCGGTTTTCCAGAGGGGGGGGTTCGAACTGGTAGTGACCCCCCCCGGTTTTCCGGAGGGGGGGGAGTTCGAACCGGTAGTGACCCACCTCTGGTTTTCGAGGGGGGGGGGGTTCGAACAGGCCGGTAGTGACCCCCCCCGTTGTCGAGGGAGGGGGGGAGTGGGCGGGGGTTCGAACCGGTAGTGACCCCCCCAGATTTTTTGGAGGAGGGGGGAGAGGGGTTCGAATCGGTAGTGACCCCCCATTGGTTTTCTGGGGTGGTGGTGGGGGGTTCTCACCTGTAGTGACACTCCCCTGGTTGTTTTCCGGAGGGGGGGGGGCGGTTCGAACCGGTAGTGACCCCCCTCGGTGTTCCGGAGGGGGGGGGAGTTACGGGAGGGCGGGGGTTTTGTCGGGGGACGGGGGGGTGGGGTTCCAGCAGGGGGGGGGATTTTCGGAGGGGGGGGAACCCCCGGGTTCCGGAGGAAGAGGGGGAGGGGAATTTTTCATAGTGAAGCGGCGGTGGATCATGCTCTCTCGGTGATCATGCTGATGATGCTGCTGCTGCTGCTGCTGATGATGATGGTGAGGAGGAGGAGGAGGAGAAGGAGGATGACGAGGAGGAGAACAGAGTGAAGGCGGATACGTACCTCGCAGTTCGAAACATCATCTTTGTAGTGTTTGCTGGATCATTGTCGTTGTAGCTGCCGCAGGGAATTGTCCGCACGGTGCAGTGCGCTTTCAAATGAGGCAAAGAGGGGTCGTGTAAATTTGGCATTTGGGCAGGTACGAAAAAGAGGCATATCCGGCATGCATGGGTCGGAGAAGGTGTGATTCGTATCGCCTTCCTAACATGGGTCGCATCATGGTCCACCGCTTTTCCAATTTGGGACGTAAAGTGATCTAATGCGGTACATCGCGCCTCCAAGCAAGCTGGAGGGCATTGTGCAAGTTGCGGAACGTGGCAGGTACATTCCTCGATCTTCAGCTTCGCCCAGGACTCTTGCCCGAAGTCGCAAACTATATTGCACCTCTCCAGGGCCGATGTCGTCGTCGTTGTCGTCGTCGTCGTCGTCGTCGTCGTCGTCGTCGTCGTCGTCGTCGTCGTCCGCCTGAGGCGTCATTCGAAACGCGTTCTCTGCAGATGCCTCACTCTGAGTCTTCCCCGAGCCATCCCTGCGTAAGAATTTCCCGTCCGGGGCAGCCTCACTGCTGCACGTGTGGGTGCGCTGGACTCGCTCGTTTGGCGACTGAGGGGGCGGGGGAGGAAGAGCGGCGAGAGGCGTGCGTGCCGGCGCAAGGTGGAGCTCGTGCAGACTCTGGTGGCGGGCCCGGTGCTGGCAGGAGCAAGAGAGCTGGAGGTCGTGTCCCAGGACGGGTTTGCCGTGGGGGACACCATCGTGATCCGCGGTGGCGGCAACTCAGAGACTCGCACGATCGCGAGCTTTGGGTCAATCGTGTCGAGCCCTCAGCCTTGCCAAGGCATCTGTTCTGATGGATCTGCGACTGCTCGGTGGGAGGTCTGCGATCAGCGGCAGGCGTGAGAATTGATCCCAGCATGGAACTGAGTGGCGGCCATGATTCCCATCGTGGCGTCTGATCTTCTCAGGAGGAGGAGGAGGAACTTGAGGAGGAGGAGAAGGAGGAACTTGAGGAGTAGGAGGAGGAACTTGAGGACGAGGAGGAGGAGGAGGAGGAGTCCGGTCTCATCCGGTGAGTGAGGGCAGCACAACCCTACCCACCCCCAGCCAAGATCCCCACTCCCGACCTGGTGGTCCTGGGGTCCTGGCTGGCGGTGGGGGTGACTTTTGTGGGGGCACTTGGAGGTTAAACAAACACCTCACCTCCAGCCACGAACCCCTGGATCACCAGGTCGGGAGTGGGGGCTCTTGCTGGGGATAGGGGTCGGTTGTGCTAACTTCAAGAGGGGCTGGTATGCAGCAAGGCTGGACTCACCGTTGGAGCACACGTATCCGGCGGGCTCCATCATCACCAAGCAGGCTGGGCCGCCGTGGGCTGCAAACCTCCGACTCCAACCCCTGCAGCCCCTCATCCCCCCATGTACCGCAGGAGGCCTCTTCTCCTGCTGAGTGCTCGTCCTCTTCGTCGTCGTCGTCCTTCCCCTCCTCATGACCCTTCCCTCCTGCTCATCCTCATCCCCTCTTTCTGGTTCATCTTCCGTTCTCGTCCACCTCCTATCCCGCCAGATTGCGACCCAGGCGTCCTGGGGACCGACGACGACGACGACGACGATGACGAAGACGGCGAGGATGACGACGACGACGACGATCGCGGCCGACAATGGCTTCCCCTGCTTTTTCTCCCCTCTTTCTCCTTTATTCTAGACGCTTCGCGTAACCCCACCAGCCTTGCACCCGCCGCCCCGGCGCCGGCCGCGGCCCGCGCGCGCGTTCGGCCAATTAGTATCGGCCGCAGCCCGACCGTTACTCGCCGCCGCTGGCGCTTCCGGCCGCGGCTGTAAAAAAATAAAGATAAAAAAATGAAGTAACCCCACCAGCCAAGGGTAGCATTATCTGTGTCCAGCGGCTTTTGGCTGCGCCCGCCTCCTATCATTCACAAGTCTCTGCGGCTTTTGGCTGCGGCCCCCCCCGAGATTGCATCGACCGTTGAAGAGCGTCCGCCCTGCACCTGCCCAGGGAGTTTCGGGTCCTCCGTACATGGTGATTGGCTTCGTCAGTGAGCGGCCCCGCATCGAGTGGTACAGCCTTCCGCGGTCCATGTTCGTTTTGTTCTTTTCGGCGCAGCCACAGCCCCAGCCCTCGCTTGGACATTGCATCGTTGTGCCCCCGAACTGCGTGAGTCGGATACGATGCATGTGGACCAGCTACCAGCTGGTGGTTGTCAGCCTCGTGCAGCACACCAGTGGTCTCTTATGGGACGGTGCCCCGACACCCCTCATTGACACAAGTGCTCAGCGGCTTTTGGCTGCGCCCCCCTCCTGCCTGTGGCCCGCCCTGGTCTGTCGCCGACCTGGCCATGGTTCTGTCTTGGCCCGCTATCAGCACGCCGCTTGCGAGCGGTATGGCCCAGCAGCTCGGTAGCCGACAGCCATCGTCACGCCACCGGCGTCGGGGTATTGGCTTCCGCACGGGCAGCGTGGCAGGTGTGGTTGGGTGCAGCTGTCAACCATACACTCGGTGACACCCGGTGTTTGGCTTCGTCAAGTGAGCGGCCCTGCATTGAGTGGTTCAGCCTTCTGCAGTTCGTGGTCGCTCTCATCAGAGCAGCCCCGGCTACCAGCCCTCGTCAGTACTTTGCATCGTTGTGCCCCCGAACTGCGTGAGTCGGATACGATGTGTACGCACTGGCTACCGGCTGGAGGTGGCTCAGCCTCGTGAGCGCACTCAGTGGGTACATGACGTGGATGTACATGAGTAGCTCCAGCGAGGGCCGAGGTGACAGCTCGGACAGTGACAGCGGGAGCGAGGGCGGCACCACGGTGGTTGACGGGCACGACGTGACGGACAGCGAGGATGAGCCCGACGCCAAAGCTCTCTTCGCCGAGCTGGCGAGGGGGCAGGCGGAGCTGGCGTCGGCCATGATCGACTTGAAGGACAAGATGCGCGAGGAGGCGGGTGCTCGCCCTCCGATGCCCCTGCCGCCCCAGGCGCCGCCTCCTGGCGAGGCTAGGCGTGAGGGTGTCGCCTTGAGAGGAGGAGCGGCGGAGGAGGGCGAGCCCAGCGTTGGGGACATCGACGCCTTCATCAAGAAGTTGAACGAGCACGAGAGTGTTGTCCAGAGGGACTCGGCCAGAGCGACAGCGGGGTCGCCCCCGACTCCAGTCAGCAGCAGTGGCAGCAGCGGCTCTTGGGAGAAGCTCAGCGGCGACTTCGACGACCCACTGAAGGACCAGATCGTGCAGCTGAAGTTGGAGGCGACCACCCCCAAGGACAGCCTGCTGAATGTGTTGCAGCAGTACAGGCCCGCCGTCGGTGCCCAGGTGGGCGGCGTCAGGACGAGGGTCGCCCCCGCGGTGTTGGCTAAGCTCTACCGTGGGGGGCGGACCGCCCGCGCCGAGACGCAGGAGTGGTTGCGGGCCAAGGAGCTGCAGACGGCCTCAGTGGCGAACACGGTGAACATGCTGGCGATGGTGCTGGACCGCATTATGAGCTCGGGCGAGCACGACGCGCTGATCAACAGCCGGGCGTCGGAGCTCACGTGCCTGCGGCTCTACTCGATCTGGAAGGCCTACGAGCGGGTGCAGTGCCGAGCGGACTGGCAGCGCCCCAAGGCGCAAAATGGAGGCAAGTGGAAGTCCAAGGTCGACTGGAGCCTGGCCGAGGAGTACCTGCGTTCGGACGGCGATCGGGACAGCGAGAACTTGAAGGCCGACGAGGAGGTGCTGGAGAAGCTGAAGCGCCGCGCGACCCTGAACAAGCACCTGAGTCAGGGTGGCGGTGGGGGAGGCGGCGCGGACGGCGAATAGGTTGCGGCCGGTGCGATCGTGGTAAGCACTGGTCAAGCGCGTGCTGTAGGCACTGCACCGCGTGGCTTGAGGGGGTCGTCGGCCCTCGCTCGCCAGCCTCACCACGCCGTCTTCATCGGGCTCATCGTGGGCCTGCTGGGTTGGTTGTTCTACGAGCTTTCCTGGAAGGAGCTTCCCGCCCAGGAGATTTTCGAGCCAGAGGAGGTCTACTTGGGCATCCTCGAGGCTCCCCTACCGCGAGCAGGTCATCCAGTGCGTCGTGGTGCAGGTCACCAGGTGGGGCCATCCCTGGACATCGTCAATGGATCCTCGGGGGCGCGACCCGCTGAGGACTTTGCCAGACCTCCTTTTTTCCGATGACTACCAGGAGATCGAGTGTGGGGCTGAGTTCCGTCAGCCTGCGTGTTACCTGGGGGAGGGTGGCGAGGGCGATCTCGGCGATCAAGAGCATGGCCACGGGCTGTGCGAATGGGTGGCTGCCGCCAGCCCCCCTCAGGACGGTGGGCTAGGCGAAGGAGAGGTGGGCGGTGAGCAGCCCGCTCCAGAAGAATATCATCAGCGATATTTGGGACCGGCGCGCCCAGCGGGCGAGCTGGGGCAATGTCAACGACGGGAAGGTGGCTCTCGGCCATCTGGGGGAGACGACGGGCAGCGGTTATTTCACGACGGTAAGGAAGAAGGAGGACAGCAAGAAAGTGACGAGATGCAAGAGGGGAGATTTGTGTCCTCTCCGAGCTGGGCAAGTTTCGCTGCCCAGCCCAGGTGCGACGCCTCTTCGTGTCCAGGACCTCTCGGCCTGCGCGGGCAGCTACATCGATTCGTTGGAGAAGTTGATGATCAAGGGCACGGGGGAGGTGGACTGGGAGAGGTACGAGAACACCAAGAGCTACTTGGACCCGGCGCTGAGGAGCAAGGCCGAGAAGCTCGAGCTGCTTTCCCGCATGTACCACGCGGGGATGCTGGACTACGTGAAGGTGGTGCGGGAAAAGGTGGGACTGTCCACGGTGGCCAAAGACGTCGACCCCGACTCAGGGGAGGGGCTGAAGAGCCGACTGATCTGGGATTGCAGGAAGGTCAGCGTTCTTTTTCACGAGCCGCCGTGGGTGCCGCTTGGGAGTCCCGCAGGCTTGGCCCTGCTGGAACTAGACGAGGTGATCTTGCATGGGCGGCGGCTCTTCTCCTTCCAGGGCGACGTGCCGGATTGGTTCTATCGACTGCACTGGGGATCGGAGCTGGCGGAGTTCTTTGTCGCGGAGGGCGTCTCGCCTCAGGAGCTGCACCAGTATGGCCAAGAGAAGGGGTTCGAGTTCAAGAGGCCCGACCCCTCGGATATTGGCTTGGGAGCAGCGGGCCTGGTGATGGGCTCGACATGGGCCGTCTTTCTGCCGCGTACCTGTCTGGGCTCGAGTTTCGAGACCCTGAGGGCGCCGACCATTGCGTATGGGAAGCCGACCCCGAGCTTCCGCAGTCTGACACCCAACACTCGACTTCCGTCGCAGCAGAGGGATTTCCCTCGAGCGCGACCGAGGCGGTGGAGGAGGAGATTGTCTGTGGAGGTGGCGGTGAAGCTCATCTTAATTCTGTACATCGACGACTACATCGGCTTTAGGCTGAAGGGGCCTGGTGAGGAGGAGGAAATCCTGCAAGACAAGGAGGAGGTGAAGCAGTCTTTGAACCACAAGGGCCTCGCGATCCACAAGGAGGCCTGGGGAGAGGGGCTCGGTGCGCGAGTGGGGCTTACGATCACAGCGTCGAGGCCGTAGGTTCTACGGGTCCAGACAAAGATGTTCGCGGGGCTGGTCTTGGCGACGGAGGCGCTGCTGCTGGGGGGCGTTGCTTCCCCATCCGTGCTGGCAGGTTTGGTGGGTCATTGGACGTAGACCGTGATGGTGTTCAGGCCTGCTTTTGCCATATTGGACGTGGCCTACGGGTGGATCAGAGGTTGCGAGGTGGAGGAGTGTGTCGT